ACGAAGGCGGCACGTTGGGCCCCCTGGCTTGCTTCTTAAGCTGCAGATACTCGGGTCCTACCCCCTGAAGATTTTCTCTCACTTTATTGAAATAGGGCTTGAGCTTTTGCGTTTTCCAAAATGCGGGAGAAGTCATCGTCAGGAATACGTCACTGAAGACTGGAGTCTAAATGTGCGGTCTCTGTCCATGAGATCGGGTTCCCCGATGTGGGACGAAGCAGATCGGGGGGCGGACACCGGTGGGCCAGTGGCTCCGGCCGTGAAAGCACGCACCTGAGGCAGAACAAAGAGCTAGAAGTTCATCGACTCCACTGCCCAGGAGCAGGCACGAGGGGCAGAGGACAGGCGGTCTGCCCCAAGCCCGAGGGTGGGGGCCGTTTCTAAAGAGGGAAGCTGAGGGGCCTGGCTGCGGAGGACGTTCTCCCGTGTTTGGCACCTGGGCCTGGTTGTAAGTAGCCGTTGGTTCGCCTGGAGCTCCTCCGAGCTGGGTCTCTGCGTGGAGAAGCAGCTCTTGTTTTCCGTCTTCATGGAGGAGAGGGGAGTTGCTCAGAGTGCCTGGGTCTGTAACTGCCAACCAGATAGCGGTCAGCCTCGAGCTGCTTTGCAGTTTTCCTGCCTCGGAGGTGTAGCACTTCCTGAGCAAAAGATTTCGTTTAATTTACTCTCAGAAGCTGGGTTTCCCCTCTGAGAGCGAGGCGTCTGCAGCAGCTGGTTGAGATGGGTTTGAGAAAAGAACAGGTATCCCGCCTTCTTCCGCTTTCTGGAAGCCACTGTCAGTCACCCACTGACTGGTATTAGACCCTCTTGGTCCTCACTGGTCTCCTTACGGCGTGCTCTGGACTCTGCAGAATCCCAGTCCTACCCTGAACTCCCGATTCGAAGGCTGGGACGGTTCTTGTTAACCCTCCATTTCCCCATCTTCATTCACAGTGTGACAGAAGGAGTTTGGGTGGGAGCCCCACACACTCCTGCTTGCAGGGGGACAGGAATATTTTTGCGGAATTAGCCCGTCATCTGCGGGACTCCCGTTGGTGGGGATCTGGTCGGAGCTGGTAGCAGCTTCGAGTTTTGTTCTCTCGTGCAAGTTTATCACACGAGAAAGAGTGTCGTCGCTTTTACGCTGACATTCCTTGGGTTAGCAGTCCCTCCACTGCACGCAGAGTTGGGTGAGGGTGAGGGTCTGCCCAAATCTTGGTTTTGTTCACTTACTTTGCAAATGTATAAATAATAATGAAAATAGCTAAAATTGGTATAACTCCAGTTGTAAATCATAGACACATTATCTCCTTAGTTGGGCTTTGAAATGGGATCAGCACAGGGGTCTAGTCCAGTTGAGTTGGGGCTTCTGTGGTGGCCATGCTTCTGCACTGCTGCCTCCTCTGCATGCGCCGGTGTAACGGCTTGTTAGTAAAACTCACATTCACGTGTTCCAAGAGCTGTCACTGCACCTCCTGTCCTAGGCTCTTAGATACAAGATAGAAAGAAGAAACTCGTACCCTCCCAGGAGCTCAGAAAGCCCTTGAAGTCTGACGTGCGCAAAGACACGCAAACACACCAGGCCCACGGTTAGGGTGAGCACCGCACGGTAGACACGGCGAGCCTGGTGCGCAGAGGAAGGACTTGACCATTCTGCAGGCGTCTGTGAAGTCTCGGGGACGTTTCCGAAGGGGGTAAAAGCTGTGTTGCGATGAGTGAGCCGGAGCTCGGGGCGGGTGTCCCAGAGAGGAACGGCGAGTGCACCTGCCGAAAGCTGGAGAGAGCGAGCTGTGTTCACTCACCGTCTGTGATTCTGTTGTCACTTGCGTAGTTAATCTGGATAAGCTCCTTGAAGCCAGAGACCAGGTGTCCGTTTTGGCCACCGTTGTGTCCTTAGCACAACACCTGGAACATAGCAGATACTTAATTTAAAAAATCTTTCTATAGGGACGCCTGGGTGGCTCAGTGGGTTAAAGCCTCTGCCTTCAGCTCAGGTCATGATCCCGGTGTCCTGGGATCAAGCCCTGCATCAGGCTCTCTGCTCCGCGGGGAGCCTGCTTCCCCCCGCCCCCACCTGCCTCTCTGCCTACTTGTGATCTCTCTCTGTCAAATAAATAAAATCTATTAAAAAAAAAATTTTCTGTAAACAGAAGTACACAGATCCGCGAGAATGGTCCCCGGGCTCCCCCACATCCTCCCCTCAGTCGGTCTGGTGGCATGATACACCTCCTGAGGCTCCTGGACTCCCAAGGAACATGGTTTGAAAACCACTGCTAAGAGACCATGATAGGTCTAGATCCCTAGGGCTTTTCTTTTTAATTGTTAGATGTTTAGAATGACATGCATATCAGTTACAGCGCTGTTTCCCTTACTCTTTTTTAACTTGCTTTTAGCGGTGAAAAATAACTCACCCACACACAGAAGTGGAGTGATTCTTACATGGTGATGTGTTGGACTGTATGCATTTTAATGAGTTTTAAATAAAAGGTATTGAAAGTTATTTTAGTTACAATACTGAAAACATTTCTTTTTGTGCATTTCATATGTTTTCCAGACCGGTTGGAGGGCGACAGATCAGAAGGCTCTGGTCAGGAGAATGAAAATGAGGATGAAGAATGACCAGCTCTTACTGGCAAGCACTTAGATGTTCTGAAATTTGTACAAGACATTTATTATATTTTTTTCTTTACAGAGCTTTAGTGCAATTTTAAGGTTATGGTGTTTGGGAGTTTTTCCCTTTTTCGGGATAACCTAACATTGGTTTGGAATGATTGTGTGCATGAATTTGGGAGAGTGTGGAAAACAAAACTAGCAAAATGTTTTAAAAACTTTTTGCCATGTGTGAGGAGTGCTAGAAAATGCAAAGTGCAATATTTTCCCTAACCTTCAGATATGAGAGCTTGGATCAATGTGGAAGAGTAATTTTCATTATAGTGAAAATGTTGGTCAAATAAATTTCTACACTTGCCATTTGCATGTTTGTTGCTTTCTAATTAAAGAAGTTGGTTGTTTTAAGATATCCTGAATTTGACTTTTTATTTCATGCCTGACTACCTTCACCCACATTTTCCAGTCTTCTCGGTAACATAAGACTCTTTATTCTCGATTTGCTAATCTTTCCTGTTTTGGCTTCCGTGAGATAGAATCACATAGAGGAGCTTTTTTTCGTTTCTCCTTCCAGAGCACATTATCTTCACTTCCAGCCCCGTCAGTCCCCATTAGTAGAGCCTCTCTCCCCGAAAACAGGATTCGGCTTCCAGCAGCAAGCACAGAGCATCACGGCCGGCTCCCGAGACGCGCCGGCGCACGCTCGTGTGGAAAGCTCTGGCTTCTGCTCTTCCTCTAACTTCTGGATTTCAGCTGAAAGCTGTTGACCGGCCTGTCTTAACCATCCCGGGTCTTCCTTGACTCGAGTGTCCAACTCCGCCCAATTTAGGCCGCTTCCACCCAGCTCGGAAATGCTCCTGCGGACTCAGCCCTGCCTTGTCCTCCCTCCCCTCCCCCAGGCTGCTGGGTGTTCTCCAGCTGGGCGCGGATGGGACTCCAGTGGCTGGCTCAGTCAGTACAGCATGCGACTCTTCATCTTGGGGTTGTTTGAGTCCCATGTTGCATGTAGAGATTACTTGAAACATCTTTAAAAGGCGGGGGAGGGGCGCCTGGGTGGCTCAGTGAGTTAAGCCTCTGCCTTCAGCTTAGGTCATGATCTCAGGGTCCTGGGATCGAGCCCCACATCGGGCTCTCTGCTCAGCAGGAAGCCTGCTTCTCCCTCTGCCCCCTGCTCATGCTCGCTCTCTCTCAAATCTTTAAAAAATAAATAATTAAAAATAAGAGTGTTCTGTATTTCTGGGAACAGCCCTCCCTGAATCTAGCTGTCTCGGAGGCGTTTGTGAACAGCACGAGGATGGGTGTGCGGAGGGGTGTGTGGTATGGGCATCACCCCTCCCGCTTCTACAGCCCTCAGCTCCTGCCTGCTCTGTGGCCTGCTCCCTCGAGGGAGGCCGCACTCCAGGACATGGAGGCACACAGTGGGCCAAGGGGGACACTCAGAGTCCACAGTCCAAGTACAGATCCACAACTTCCACAGCTACACATGCACCAAAACAGATATTGAATCAGATAAAGCTATTCTAAATATGCTTCTACTCATTTATAAATACTGTGACTTATAATACTAAATATTTTTTTATCTTTTAAAGAAAACTATCCAAAAACTTCAAGTGAAATATATTTCAGGATTAGCTTGCTTCTGTTTTGCTTTCAGGGTTTTTAACAACTTCTGTATCCAGAGGCCCAGTATCAGAACACGGCCCAGAACCCCGTCTCCTAGCGCACCCACACCTGAGTGACGGGACTGCTTCCCTGCCTCGAGCGGCGTGCCTGCCCAGGCTCGGGATCCCTGGGATCCCAGGGATCCTTGTGGGGCTGTGTTTTCATCTGGGAGGGGCTGAGCTGTCGGTGCCTTAGGATATTCCAAAATGGTGGTTGGAAAAGAAAACCAGAAATGGCTTCTAATTCCCAAGCTATTAATATTCAGGAAAATTCTGAGGGAAATGAACACAGACAGCTCTTTGTATTACATTCTAAAAATAACTGAGCAAAACTGCCTTCTTGGTAATCCTACCCAGATTCAAGTTTGTGCTTTGGAACCTTCCAAACAAATCCAGTCGCTGGCCTCGGGTTGCAGTTTTTAGGTCTGGCCAGCCGGTATCAGGCTCCCAAGCTCTCGGGCCTGCTGCCCTGTCTCCCACCTGCTAAGCCCAGCTGGCGTTCTAGTGACGATGACTCAAATGTCCCTCCTCCTCCCCTCCTCCCCCTTTTCCCCTCTGCACAGTCTCATGGCCAAGACCTGGCACTTGACCCAGACTCTGGCTTAATGTACTTTGGGAGGTCAGACAGGCCCTAGGCTTTCCTAGGCCTCCCTGGATTCTGTGTCCCTGCTCCCTAACCCGGAAGGGTGGTCAGACTCTGTCCCCTCCTATAGTCACGTATGACCGCCATTTCCCTTTGCTTCGGGGTGAACTGGGATGTCCCTTCCGTCTCTCCTGGGATTCACCTGGGGTTCTGCACACACTGGGTCCCAGCATGGACTCCCCTCCCCTGTGTGGCCTCTTGCCACGGGGCCTTGGAAGATCACGGACTCCGAGGGCCCGAGACCCACGGCCAAGCAGGCTGTAAGGGAGGTGAAGGCCGAGCTCGTGCCGGGGTTTGGGACCAGGCAGGCCCTGGGGTGGGGAGGGACCGTCTTCGGCCGCCGCTAATGGAGAGCTCGTTGCTCCTTCAGCCTCTTAAATTCCAAGCGCCGCGTCCCCCTCTCCTCCCCGACTCCTGCCTTCCCGCAAGAGCCTCGTGCGCGGCGCAGCGAGACGACCACACGGCGGCCCCCAGCGCCTCCCCCCCGGCGCCAGTCCGCACGTTCGCTCCCCGCCCGCCGCGCCCCTGCCCCCGGACGCGCCCCCGCCCCGCCGAGCCGCAGCCACCGCACCCGCCCGGCCCGTGCACGGAGGCTCCAGGCTGACCCTCCGCACCCGCGGCCGCTGCAGGGACGCGTCCCCAGCCACGCGCCTCCCACGGCCTCCCGCGGGGGGGGCGCCCGGAAGCCCCGACCCGCGCCGTCCCGCGCGCACCCCGCACAGCGGCCCGCAGCCGGGCTGGGGAAGGCGGCGCCCCTCGGCCCCCCGTCCCGGTCCCCGGCGCCCCGCGGGTCTCGCAGGAAGCGAGCTGCCGGCCGGGCCCGAGGCACCGGCTCCGCGCGGAAGCCGACCGGCCGCCCCGGCCCCTTCCCCCCGCGCGGCCGCCCCGGCCCCTTCCCCCCGCGCGGCCGCCCCGGCCCCACGACTGCCGCCCTGGCCGGGGAGGGGGCGAGGCGCGCGCGCCCCCGCAGCCCCCGCCCCGGCATCCGGGGCACAGCACGGGGACCCCGTCCAGTGGCGACTTCCAGGAGAGGGGCAGTGACGGGCACCAGCGCTCGACGAGGTCCCGCCCAAACCGGGACCCGCAGCACCGAGGCCCTCGGCGACCGCGCGGCCCCGTGTCCCCAGGAAGGCCGCAGGCCGCCGCGGCGCAGCGCGGAAACCCGCCGGGCCGGGCTCAGGGGGCGCCGGCGGCAGGTGTCCCCGAAGGAGCCTGCGGGGCGTGAGGCGGGGGCGGGTCCTCCGCGCCCCGCTGCGCCCCGCCTCCCTCCGCACGCGCTCCCGCTCGCCCCGGCCGGTCGAGGCAGGAGGGTCTCCGAACGGCGGAACGCGGGGAGCCCCGGGTCCCTCTGGCCGCCTGGACACCTGCCTCCGTCCCGGACGCGGAAGACGCGCAGCGCTGCGGGCCGGGCCTCCCCGGGGGCCACAGGCCGGGGCTGCGGAGCGGCTGCCCGCGCCCCCGGGGCGTCTGCACGGGCCGGGGGCGCGCGGTCCCGCCGCTCGTCGGAAAACCGGGGACGGCCGGGAACCCCTCTGCGCAGCCTGAAACCCTGGTGGGTCCCAGCTGCCGTGGGATCTGCCCGCCAGTGGCGACTTGGGGTCTCCAGCCTCTTTCCCTGGAGCCCGGCCTGTGCGGTCCAGAGGCGCCCCCTGCACCCCGGGGGCCAGGCCGACGTGCTGCCCTCGAGGCCGGCGCGCAAGCCCCGGCCGCCCCAGCCCAGAGAGCGAGGCCACGTCGCGGGTCCCGGCTGCGCACGAACGTGTCCCTTTACTGGCAAGTGCAGGGGAAATGCACGGCGCGCAGAAAACGCGATGCCTCAGATTCGGGACCCCCACCCCGGCGGGAACAGACTTTGACCTGCACGTATCGGCAGAGCCCACGGGGCAACCCGCCTCTGCTCCCCCGAGAAGCCACCGCCCCCGACCCCCAACCTAGACCAGCACCCGGCACCGCCCGGGGGCCCTGCTGACGGGCCTGGTCCCCGGGAAGGCTGCAAGCCCCACGCCGCAGGAAGGGCCTTCAGCCAACAGCTGGCCACCGGCTTCTGGCAAAAGGCCGCGGCATCCCGGGAGCCATCGATGCCCCAGGAACGCGGTGCGGGGAACGAGCTTTGGGGAGGAGCCGCCTCTGGGACCCGCCACTGCTGACGGCCTCGCGCTCGGTCACCGGCCGGACATGGGGAGCCCCTGGCCGTGCTCCCCCCTGCACAGCTGCAGTCCCTCCTCACAGGGGGGCCGGGCAAGCTCTCGCGGCACAGCTCACACCCCTGCAACTTCTGCATCAGGGCTGGGGGCTGGGGTCGGCCTCCAGGGAGGCCCCTGCTCTGCTTGGGTCGCAGGGCGCCCGTCAGACAGCATCAGCGCTGCACGTGCAAGTGCTCAGGGGGTCCTCCCCCCGCCCCCCCAGATTCAGAGAACAGCAAAGATCACAGTGGGGTGCAATCCCGGACACCCTCAATCCAACCTCCAGCCCCTCACCCTGCTCTCCGTGTGGCTCTGAGAGGGGACACGCAGTCCGGAAGGGCCCAAGCGCAAGCCTCTCTCCCACCCCTTCCTGCCCCAGGCTGCTCTGGGACTGGGGCCCCAGCCGGCGCCGAGGACCCAGGTGCTCTGAGCGGGCGCTCAGGTCGCACGCACAACCCAGCAGATGAGGTCTCCCTGCGTGGAAGGGCTTCCTCCCAGGAGGACAGCAGCTCTGGCTCCCACACCACAGCCTCTGGCCGCCTGGGGAAGATCAGGGTGTCCGAACCAAATGGACTGTTTTTTTTATTCTGGAAATGAAACATCTCGCCCCTTCCTCGTCTCTTACAGTGGTTGCTCCCTTCTTTTGAACAGCAAAGCGTCAGTCAACAGGGAAGCGGGCAGGATGGCCCCCGCCCCTCCAACAGCAGCCCCATGGCCGGAGCCACCCCCCCCAACGCCAGCGGACGGCTCCCTCTGACCGCAAGGTCCCCACCAGGATGGAGGTGTGCGGTGCCCACACGAGGGGCTCTGCTCCAGGTTCTGTGCGGAGCGGTTGGCGGAGCCTGCATCGGCCATGCGGAGGCCCAGGGGACCATCCTGCTTTGTTGCGGACACCTGCTGTCCTCCACAGCACACCGCAATGGGCTGCCCTCCCGAGACCTGGGGGACAGTGCCCCACGAGACTCCCGGGTCCCAAAGAGGCGGTAACCCATGTGGTGGTTTCCTTCCAAGCCAGGGTCCCTGGTCCCCCTTCTACATGCCCCCAAAAGTCATGGCCACACCTCCGCCGCTGGCCTCTGTGCCTCCGAGGCCTCTGGTCCCATCGCCACGACCCACCCGGAGCCGGCATGCGGCCTCACGAGACCCTGTACTTAGTGTTTTCCTGGTGGCGGCCCCCAGATGTCCTTCCCCAGGCGCCCCCCTGCAGGACCGTCCACCCTGAGGCCCTCATGTCCGTCCTGCGGCTCAGACGTTCCCTTCCTCGATGCTTTGCAGCTGCAGCCGCTGACTCGCAGGCGTCCTGCTGCCCCGGCGGCCCCCGAAGCCAGCCCCGGGGACGGTCCGGGCCGTGGCCAGGACCCCGGGCAACGCCTCCTCCCCGAACAGCTTGACTTTGGCTTCGGCCTCTATGACTTTGGCCAAGCTGGCCGCATAACCGTCCAGGGACTGGTGCAGCTCGGCTCCCACACGAAGAACGGGGCTCCTGGCAGCGTCTGAGGGAGAAGCAGAGAGGAGGTTACCGAAGGCCGCGACCATGGGCTGCAGGGAACGGGCCCACGGACGCTTCACTGCCGGGGCAGGTGGCGACGCAAACCGAGGGCGTGGGTTTTGTGGCCAGTTCCTGAGGCTCACAACCTTGGCGTCCCATTTCCTCCCTGGGGAGGCATGGAGCTTCCCCGACCTGCCTCCTCGGGGCAGAGGGAGGTCTCGGCGCCCCTCTTCCCAGGGTCCCGTAACTGTGACCATGAAGGGACGCTGCCTGGCCCACAGGGACCTGACGAATACTTCCCAGTAATGACAGTCACAATTCCACACCTCGCCAGGATTCCCTGGTATCAGCGCCCCAGAACCATGTAACGTCCACGGCCACACGGGCTCACACTGGCCGGACCCTCCGGGCTGGAAGTGACATCAAGGTCTGCAGGCCCCACCCAGGATTAGGACCCCAACGACCCACACCGACAGAGAGAGAGAATCTTCACCCTCAACCTCACACCTACTGCCTTATTACTGCCCTGGCCGCCCATCTCTCCCCTGGCATTTGGCAGGGGGAACAGTTCACCTCCTACCCCTCACACCTCCTGGAGCGGGGGCGATGGCTGCCCCACGTGAGGCACACTTCCCCCATCATCCGTTTCCGGCAATTCCCAGCCAGCCTTGGGCGCTGCCCCACACGCACGATGAAGGAAGAAGGGAGGGACGCGTGGCCTCCCCCTGCCCCCCGCACCTGCGCCCCGCCCTGGCTGCAGACGGGCTGCCCTCACAACTGTCATCCCCACTGAGCCAGCCCGATGCGGCCAGACTGGTGCGCAGGCCGGACCAGGGAGGCTTCACTCACTTTCCGTTTCCGGGGGTGACGCGTGACAAAGCCCACAAGGCTGCAGGCCACACTCTTTCCTTGCGTCTACTTTGTCTCTCCGACCTCGGTGACTGTCCCTCAACTGGGCTGGAGTCGGGAGGAGAGAGGGGACCCACGGCCAGCCTAGAGCTCGGACAGGGCCCTGCTTCCCTGTCCCGGTGGGCATTGCCACGTCCCTGACTCCGCCCCTTCCGCCCCCGTGGTGCTGGCGGCTGTGCTCACGGGCCGGGATTCAGAGCAGAGAGAACCCTCCGTCTGTGGACACTCTGCGTGGCCCCCTGTCCCTCTACTGATCAGCGTGTCCGGATGGGAAAGCAGACCCTGCGTGCCAGAGGCGACAAGGTGCTGAGGCTGGAATCAGGACAGGTGGGTGACAAGCGTGGGCGCTGTCGCGGAGCTCATTCCTCTCCTGGAACTCACGAGCCCTCATCGACCCCAGGGGCAGCACATGGTCAAGGCGGCACCCTCAGCTGAGGTAGGAACACCGGAGGGGGCACTGCTTCCACTTCCCACGAGAGGCAGCAGAGGCTCAGGGCGGGCAAGTTCGGCGGCCTGCCCGCGCCTCACCCAGACACGAGAGAAACTGGAAGGCTCAGAAGCTTTTACCCAATCCGGCAGCTTCCGAGGGAGACGGGAGTCAGGACGGGGGTGGGGGTGTCCACCTAGAGGTCAACAGCAACCGCCCCCCAAGCCCGGATGCCGCCCACTCCGACAGCGGGGGCCCTAAGGCCGAGGGAGCCAGGCAGGGTCGGCAGTCGGCAGGGCGGCGGGCAGGGCGGTGAGGCCCGGGAGGCTGGGGACGGGAGCACGGCTGAGCCGAGGAGCTTGCCCGGATCCTCGCCCCTGCCCAGGCGGTCCTGAAGCAGCCGCCACAGACCAACCTTTAACTTGTTCCACTTCGTCCTCAAAGGTCACGGAGCTCCTTCTCTTGGGGGGGCAGGTGCAGTGGGAGGGAGGGCTGTCCTCGGACGTGCCGTCCTCCAGCAGCATCACGTCTGTGCCTAGAACCAAGGCTGGGCTGTGCGCACAGGACTGGCGAAGCGGGGTCCTCCCCCACCCTCCCCGCGCCCCTGCACCCTCTCTCCGCGGGTTCAGTCCCGCCAACAGCTGCGTCTCCCGCCTGCTGTGTCTGCCCAAGAAACACGGGTGCCGCGCCTCATTTCGGGAGCCGCGTCAGACACGAGGAGCACGGCGTGCTACCCAAAGAGACAGGTGACATACGACAGGTGACTCGGGCATTGAGCCAGGCCTGGGATTCGCGTGGGGGGGGCAGGGCCCTATGACAGGGAGCTTTGTGTCTGGATTTCCATCATCGTTAAAAATACGTTGTGCTAAATAAACGTTAGAACTTGAAAATGTAGAGTTCTTTGGGGATCAAAAAAGAATTGAAAAACCCCTCAAAAAAGTGGAGAAACAAAGGCAGAGAGGCAGGGGGTCCTACAGAGAGAGCTGGCAGAGCAGGGGTGTGGGGGTCCGGCCTGAGAGGGGACCCTGGCGCGACACTGGGGCGAATGTTGGGACCAGCCTTGTGCCATCCCGCCCTCCAGCCTGCAGCCCTTCACGGCCCCGGTGCTCCCGAATGAGGAAGACGGGGCAGCCCGGGCTCCTCCTGCTGCATCGGGCCGGCCTCAGCTCGGGGTCAGCCCGCCAGGTCACGCTCCACAGGGCCCTGGGGTCTGCGGCAGGCGACCGAATCCCTCAGTGCCTCCAGGCCCCCTCACAGAGCTGGTGAGGACGAGGGGACGCATGTGGCACAGCGCTAGGTGCCCAGTGGGTGCTCAGTCAGTGCCGGTCGTTGCTAACGAGGCGCAGCTGGCGAAGGGTCAGGCTCACACTCCCGCACACCGGCTCCGGGTGACCCACGGGCCGTACTCCTTCTCCAGGCAGCGAGGCCGACCCCTTCCTCCTCCTGCCTGGCCTCCTCCTCCTCCTCCACGGTGTCCCGCTCAGAGAAGCTGTGCTAAGTCTCCTCCCCAATACTCCGCAAAGGGCCGCCGCTTCCACCGCTCCCCCGCCCCCGCCAGTTATGGTCTTTCCTTCAGGGCAGAAGCACACGGGACGGCGGACCGTCCTCCCCAGTCCACAGAAAGCTCCAGAAGGGCAGCTCGCCGCTCCACCTCTAGAAGCTGGCGCAGGGCCTGGCCAGACGAACATTTACTGTGCGAATAAACGTCAGTCCACGGCTCACGGGCCCCCGTGGGCTGCGGGCAATGGGAAGAAGCCTGGGGAGGGACCCAGAGACCTTCCTTTCCTTCAGCTCCCGCGAGGGATTCAGAACCAGCGGGGCCGCGTGGCCAGCGGCCGACCCACGGGCTGGCAGGCGACAGACGACGGGCGACAGACGTTTGCAGGGAACGTTCTGCCTCCGGGGAACACCGTCCACGACAGGCCGGGTCTCCGTCTCAGCCCTCAGCCTGCCCCAGAGTTCCGTGGCATAGGCCGCGGGCGGGAGAAGCAGGTCAGGGCCGGGATGAGATTTCCGGAGCTCCCGGCGGCGGACACGGCACCAACTACCCAAGCTGTCAGCCCGGCTCGCGGGCCCCGGGGGTGGAGAGCGGAGGCCTCTGCCGCGAGGGGCGCCCGCACCCGGCGAGGATGGCGTCACAGGAGGCGGCGGGACAGAGGCGCTCCGGCCGCAGGATCCCCTGGGGGGCCGGGTGACAAGGCCCTGTGACAGACGGAGGACCTTCCCGGCTCACAAGCGGGGACGCTCCGGGGCTTAGAAAGAGAGGGAGCCTCTTGCCCAAGAGAGCCCAGCTCAGGAAAGGCCCTTCGGACACGGGCCGCCAGCAGCGGGACACGCACCGGTCCGGCCGGCCGTCTGACACGGACGGGGACAGCTCCCGGTCCCCCGCACGGCAACCCTGCACACGTTCCCCTCCCTGGGGCCTGTCAACAGCCCTGTGTGGGGGAGAACAGATCTCAAGTCCCCGTGTTATATGGGGAAACCAAGGCACGGAACCCTGGCAGCCGGGAGGCCTACCTGAGTCCTGGGAGCAGCTGAAGCCGGTGTCCCCCGTGCTGCTGCTGTTCCCGAGGGGCTGTCCGCCCGCCATGAGCGCTGTGAGGTGGGGAGACAGGCCCAGGTCTGAAAGGGAAAGTCGGCACCGTCAGCACAGACCAGGCCCCGCTGAGGCAGCCACGGACCCTCCATCTTCGGTTGTCCCCACCGGCCTCGCTGCTGCCTCCCCCGTCCTCTCTGTCCCTTACAAACGTGGGATCGGAAGCCCCCAGCTGCCCTTTCCCCTTGTTCCTGCCCCCATGGGGGGTCTGCACTGTGACTGGATTCCCTGGGCCCCCCAAAGAGGAAACTCTCACAACAACACATGCCCACTAGACAGGGGGAGGGAAAACAGGGGGCAAATGGTCTTGGGAGGTGACCTCCCAGTTAAACGGGATGTGGGCGCACCGTGACCTCCTGAGATCCCGCCTGCCTACTGGAAAGGAACTTTGAAGAGGTGTAAATCGCCAAGTGGGAGAGAATGCCTGTAAGCCAGAAGGTGGGGACTGGGTCCTGACCCAGGGAGCGGGGGCCGGCGGCTGGGGAGGCCAGGGCGGAGGCTGGTCTCACCCAGGGCCCCCCAGAGCTCAGGCGCCAGAGGCCCAGCGGCGTCTGCAGCAGGTGGGGCTGGACAGAAAGTCTCTACGGGCGGCGGCGGCCCCCGCACCGCTCTCCCCACCCCCCGCTCAGGTGTTCGGCCCCCGTTGCTGGCAGGAGGGGCAACCCGGAGGCCCGGCCTTAGAGACCCCGCCACGGCCGAGGCGACCCCGGACAAACCACAGGTGCAGCGACAAGCCGCACAGTTAACGTGGGCCGTCCCCCGCCCCTCGGCCTCCTGAGCGCACGCGGGCCTCGCCGCCAGCACGGAGCGTGGCCGCTCACCGGACACCCGGGGACAGGGCCGGCTTGAACGAGATGAAGGAACACGGAAGAAACAGAGAGACTGGGTCTCAGAACAAACAACGGACGGAGCTTAAGAAGTAAAAAAAAATCTCTCCACGAGTCCCCGGAAAAAGTTGCGAGAATAATGACGGCATGAGCACGAGAGCCAGGGGCCCTGGAGGCCACGGCAGTCACGAGGAGCTCGCAGCGAGGACACCTGCGCACGCGAGGGCACGCCCGTCCGGCTCAGCAGGAAGCCCCGGGCCGAAGGGCCCCCCTGCCCCCGTTCTCTCCACTCGCACCGCGGCGCTTCGGAGAGCCCGAGGGGATGCCAGTGGGCTTTCTTCCTGCCCCGGAGCCGAGGGCGTGTCGAGGAGGGCGGGCTTCTCTCCGAGTCACCCCTCCGTGAACTTGGGGAGTTGGAGCGTGTTGGCGGGGAGGCCCGGGCCCAGAGAAGACCCCACACGTGCTCGGCCCCATCCCGGGCTTCGGCTCCAGCATGGGACCGCGTGTCGGGGAGCCCGGCCTGGGGAGGACCCCGTGGGGGGCCAGGCGACGGCGACTGGGATGGCCCAGGCCGTGGTGGTTCGGGACACGTCTCTGAGGCTGGGTGAGAGCCAGCACGCGGCCTGGTCTCCAGCAGTCGGACGCGTGTCTGAGCCAGACCGCTGTGGCTGGGCGGGAAGGTCTGGAAACGGCTGTCAGGAGGCCCTGCCCTGGCCTGTGTTTATCCAGCATTTACCCTCGACAGCGGGCGCTGTTACCCTGGGCTTTCTCGCAGGGAACAATACCACATCTGCTGGGTTGGGCCCAATCCAAGCCCTGTTACGAAATTAAAAGAAAAAAAAAAGGCACCAAGTTGACAGGCCCCGGGGTGAATCGGAGTCACTAGTGCCTTTAGGAGGCTGGAAGCACCGCCGTGCGCTCTGGGCTGAATCGGGCACATGGAAGTCGCCGGAAGGCCTCCAGGCGGCACCTGGAAGGATGGTGCAAACGTGAAGGCCCTGGGGTGGCCTTGTGTCCCTCCGGCCCAGACTGCCCCGAGGGGCCTGCGGCAGGACCCCGCTCCTGAGTGTGTCTGCGGCTCGTCCCAGAGGGCGGCTGGGACGGCTCTAACCCGGTTCCCGGAGCTCCGAGCACCAGGTGGCGTTCATAGTGGCTGCCTTCCCACAGCACCCAGGCCACCCTCCCAGCCTGGGGTGGGCCCTGGGCTCCCTGCTCTGCCTGCTGGGGAGGTCTGTGGTAGCCCGTGGGAGAGTTGCTGGAAGGACAGTTTGGCTTTTCCCCGGAAGGGCCCTGACAGCCCGAAGACGCCGGTCAGCTGGGGCCTCGCAGGACCCCCTGTGAGCGCTCAGCTCCCCTTCCTGCACTAGAAGCCCGTGCCAACGCCGGGGCTGGCCCACCCACCACGAGGTGGCACAGCCTGACAAGGTCAGGTGGCCCGGAGATCCGCACTGCTCGGGGAGCCCCTCGGGAGTCTGTCAGTAAGCCCTCCCAGGCAGGAGGTCTTCTGGTGGCTCGGACAGGAGGCACGAGGGAAAACCCAACCCCTTCCTTGCTCCTCTTCGGCCTGGGGCTAACACGGCGAGAAAACCCAGGCTCACTGATTATGGTGGGTGCAGCTCCCGGGCCCGGGAAGGCCCACTGAGCACCGGTCCCTGCACTTTTCTACCCAAAAGCATCTGGCAAAACTGTTTTCCCTCTGCAGGGAACAACAAGGAGCTGCTTTGGGACTCACCAACCAAACCCCAGCGGGTGTTTCCCGCCCCTTCTCCCAGCCCCACAACCTCGGGCGGCACCGTCACAGGTTGCACGGAAAACCTCAGCCAGAACCAGAGGTCTGTCCTTGTGCTAGCTACCCCCGCCCCAGTCTCTGTCCCCGTTCTTTTTCTTGCCCCATCCCTAGCTTCCACGGAATATAAAGCAGGTCCTGTTTTTTGCCTGGAAGACAAGTGACTCTACAAAAGGTGGGTAAGTCAATCAGAGAAATGAAACCAGACCCTGCATGCGGTCCTGGCTCACGAGATGTACTTGGAAACACGGACTGGCCAGGGGCAGAGGACGGCATCTCAGTGGTTAAAATCCTAGGGTACGGAGAGAATCTTCTCCTCTGATCAAAAAGAAGTCTCTCTCTTGGGGATGCCTGGGTGGCTCAGTCGGTTAAGCGTCTGCCTTCAGCTCAGGTCAGGATCCAGGGTCCTGGGATCGAGCCCCGCGTCGGGCTCCCTGCTTGGCGGGAAGCCTGCTTCTCCTTCTCCCACTCCCCCTGCTTGTGCTCCCTCTCTCGCTGTGTCTCTCTGTGTCAAATAAATAAATAAGACCTTAAAAAATAAACACGGTGGAAACGTCTCTTTAGGGGGAAAAAAGATCCCTCTCTTGATCTCAGGGTTGTGAATTCAAGCCCCATGCTGGACACGGAGCCTAGTTTAAGAAAAAAACAAAGAACAGATAGTCCCTGACTTCCTTCCTCTCTCCTGAAGTGACACTCCATCAGCCCATGAATAAATCGGCGATGCTGGTGTGTCGCTGCCTCACGGAAAAGCTCTCCTATTGCACCACCACCGAACAGTCAGGATGGTTATGAGCTGTTTCTTTCCACCCTCCTGAGCGGGAAGATGGGAAGACGGGAAGACGGGGACTTCTCCACACTGGGATCTGAACTAGCTGTTCCCAGCCACCCTACGTGCCTTCAAAGTCTGTCTCCCAGCAGCCCCTCCAGGTGATAATCTCCCTCAAACACGACCCAAAAACACCTCGCTAGTAACACAGTACTGACTGCTGGAGGCAAAAAAATGCTAAAAATCCAGGGTGAAGGCTGAGGGAGAGAGAGGATACTCGCACAGCCTCGCTGTGTCTTAATTACAAAGGAAACAACAGTGACTTTACAGGGGGGACCCACCAGATACCCCTCTATGGGCTGAGTGTGTCTCCCCAGAATTCATAGGCCCTAACCCCCAGCGGGACGGCCTCTGGAAGGTAACGAGGAGTCGATGAGGTCGTGAGGGTCAGACCACGCAGCTTGCTCTGTCCTGTCTCCCCACCTCCCCGCTGCAAGCCGCAGCAGGAGGACAGCTAGAAGAGCTCAGCAGAGCGCAGCCAGCGGCACCCTGAGCTGACCGAGAGCCCTCCGTGCCCGTGCTGGGAGCCCCTGTCTGGTGGTCCGCGACGGCACCCTGAGCCTAGACAGGAAGCATCAAGGCACCACGGACTAGTAATAAGACATATGTGCCCCTGACGTGACTGTTGGGTCCGCGGCTCCGGGAATGCAGGAGAAACAATAGAGATGACCACCAGGCCGCCATCTTCCAGGCCCCCCGGCCTTTCCTAACCCTTGACGCTCCCGCCATAAGGACGTATGCCCAGGTCACGTCTCCACAAGCAACCTGATACCGATCCAAGAAACCGGAACATCAGGACTCCCCAGCCCTCCAATCCCGAATACCGTACCTAACACGGCTGTGAGCCTATGCCCGGTCTTAACCCAGATAAAAGACCCACTCGACCCCCTCCTGGCGCGACTTCCCCGACGCCTCTCTGGGGTCACGGAACCTCGCCCGAGGGCGCCTTTCATGAATCTTGCCTTGCGCCTACCTCGCCAGGTGTCATTTATCTCGCCTGTAAAACCTAACGGTGACCACGACGGGAGCACGGCACCCAGCAGCTCTCCCGCCCCGAGCACACGACCTCATTCCGACCCTGAGAACGCACCAGCGAAAGGACACGCAGGCCCGTCCGCGAAATCCCCGACCAGTGCCCCGCGGAGCGTCGCGGAAGCTGAGGGAAGCACAAAGACCCCTCAAGGCCTGAACAAGACAAAGGGAGCCGGGACAGGAGTGGAACGGGATCCCGGCACGACGAGGGACGGGCACGGGACGGCGGGTGGAAGCCGAGCCGACGGTCTAGTTAACGCATTGCACCAAGATGAGCGTCTCGGTTTCGGCAACTGCCGTGGCTCGGCCAGACGTGAACGCCAGGAGAGGCAGGGTGGGTGCGACGCTCCGTGCCCACTTCCCGGCGCTTCTCCAAGTCTAAAATTATTCCAAAATAAAAAAGGGTTAAAAAAAAATCGATCTCTCTAGAGTTGCTGCTCTGGGTCTCACCACAGGCCGAAGGCCCGTCTCCAGAAACTTGCTCCCACGTCAGTCACCAGAGGGAGACGCCGCTTCACACGCGGGGGACGGTGACATTTCAGCTGGGGGCAGGGGGCCCCGGTTCGGGAATTGCCAGCGACACTAAGGAACGGCCCGGGAGGGGTGCGCTCGGGCTGGGCGGCCGAGGCCGGCGGGAGCACCTGCGAGTGGGAAGAGCTTTACGGAACCCCAGGAACACGGGAGGGAAGCACGGGCCAGGAGCGCGGGCAGCCGGCCCCACGGTCCGGCTGTCGGTAGAAAGGCGGCCAGCGAGCCGGGGCCAGGCTGACAGAACACACACTTCTGAACCCTGGTGTCCCCTGCCTTGAGCTGCGGAGCTTGCGGAAGGGACCCGGGAAAGACACGGGACGCTCCGCAACATTCCTTCCCCGAAGGTCACCTGGGCTTGGAGGCCCCGAGCTCACCCACAGGCTACGCCGGCCTGAGGGGGCCTCCCCGTCCCGGCACGTTCCCGCGTCACCTGTGATCCTGTTGGAGATGCTGAAGAGCCGGGACGTCCTCTGTCGCTGCACGAACGGCTCCCGGTAGTACCGATCCCCAAAGCACATGCCCAGCAGCTCCTTGCGGACCGTCTTGTTCCAGAGCCCGTAGATCAGGGGGTGGCAGATGGCGCTGGTGAAGGACAGCCACGTGGCCCAGGTCTCCAGGGCCGGGGAGACGGAGTTCTTGCCCCAGAGGGCCTCGGAGGTGATGACAAGCATGTAGGGGCCCCAGGTGACGGAGAAGGCCCCGAGGACCACCAGGATGGTGAGGAGGGCTTTGCACTGGTTGGCTGAGTAGACCACGGCCTGCGAGGCAGGCCTCCTACTGCCAGACGAAGAGCTGGACGTGCTGGAGTTCTTCCTCCCGCCCCTCCGGGCGTCCTCCCCTGCCAGGACCACCGTGCCACAGTGCACCTTGCGCGCCTTGACCCTGGCCACCCGGAAGATGAAGCCGTAGCACACCAGCATGACCAGAAAGGGGAACAGGGCGCACCAGATCTGCCAGAAGGCCGTGTAGCCAGGCTCCCGGTGCCACGCGGCCACACACATCCACTTGAACTCGTCGAACTCCACGGACGACCAGCCAAACAGAGGTGGCAGGCAGCCGACGAGGGAGTGAAGCCAGATGTAGACCAGAGCCATCACAGCCCGGTTCCCCGTGATCTTCGTGGGGTACGCCATGGGGTACAGGACAGCATAGTAGCTAGAGAGCGGATGGAGGGAGACGAGAGAGAGGAGTCAGAAGGGGAAAATATCCCAGGATGGGCCCCCGGTGCTCTCCAGTGTGGGGAGCTTGGATGAACTTCCCCGCTCGATCCAGCCACGGGTGAACGCTCCTAAAACAGCTCCTTCCCCCATCTCGTCCCTGACACGTCATAGACGGGGCCAGGTTACACAGCTTTGTGCGAACCTTCTTCCTGCAAGAGCTGGATGCCAGGATGAACCCAGAGCTCAGGCAGTCCTATTCCCAGGTCACCGCACCAGAGCCCAGTCAGAGCAGGAGCTGTGGGAGTTCTGTGGGATCCAGCTGGATCACCATGTTGCTGGCATGAATCCCCTTAGATCAGTTTTCAGAGGGTCATTAAAAACCAGAATAGTGTGGGCGCCTGGGTGGCTCAAGTCACTTAAGCGGCTGTCCCAGGGTCCTGGGATCGAGCCCCGCATCAGGCTCCCGGCTCAGCAGTCTGCTTCCCCCTCTCTCTCTGCCTGCCGCTTCCCCTGCTTGTGCTCTCTCTCTCTCCCTCTGACAAATAAACGAGTAAAATGTTAAAAAAATAAAACCAATAATATCAAAGGACTATGGAGTCCATTCGTCCGATGACCATTCGCCGAAGGCTGGCTGTGCTGAGCACCGTGACGTGCACTGAAAGGCAGTGAGGAGAGGCGGAGGGAGACAGACAGCAAGAACAGCAGGAGAATCTGGGATGCTAAGAGCCACACACCAGCCTCACAACAGCTGCTTAAAGCGGTGAGCATTGTCACTGTCCTCACCGTACAGATGAGGACACTACAGCAGAGAAAGAACCCGTAGCCTGCCCAAGACAAGGGGCAGAATCAAGTCCCATGGCACAGGCCAGCGGGAGGCCACTTGGCAGGGCTGGCTACTGATCCCTCAGCCCTCTGTGGAAGGGGTAGGCTGGGCAGGCACCTATTTCAGGGGTCAGAGCCAGCACCTGCCGGAGATGGCCCCCAGACCCAGGTCTTCAAAGATCAGAGGCCCTGGCCAGGAGGAAGGCAGCTGGGGGGTGGGGGGAGAGCATGGAGAGGTGAGCCAGCATGCACCCCGTGGGGAAGCTGCCGGAGCACAATCAGACAGAGGCAGAGCAGAGGCAGAGCTGGAGGTCAGGGGCCAGGGGCCAGAGCATGCGAAACCTTGCAGGCCTGAGCCTTGAACTGGAAAGGGTGAGAGGATGGAGACCATGGGGTTGGAAGTAAGCTAGTCCCCTTCCCACCCAGACATTTTATCCAAAGGAAAGGCTGTTTAATGAATAACAGGGTTTCCCCACGAGGGCAGCATGTGTGAAAGAAGGGGTGTCCATGCAGACACCGCCTGGTACAGGCAGGATGTGAGAAATGCCTGTGGTCATGAGAGTCACACGTCTCCCGTGAGGCCTTCTCCCCACAGGCACCATCCTGAGTCACCCCTGGGCACCGGCAGCTCAGGGATGGGGTGGGGGGCCTGAACTGCCCCCCGCCATGCCTCTCCCGGGCCCCCCCCCCCCACTGCACTCTTGCGAACCACCGTCCCCACCCGAGGAGAGCCTGGGACGGCGGACGTCAGGCGCAAGCTCCAGCTGAGATGGGGCGTGGGCAGACCGTGTTCCTGACTGTGGGTCTGAGGCGGATCCCCTGGGGCCCGGCATGGATCACAGCTCCACCGCACACGGCCTGGGCTGAAGCCGTCACAAGCTCATCCCTGGGTTTGCATCTTGCAACGTCCATGCGGCTCAGGGAAGGAGGGTGCCCTCGGAGCTGGAATGCCTGGGCGCGGACGGTGACTCCCTGTCTTTGTTCGTGGCTCTGCCGTCTACGAGCTGTGTGACCTCGGGGGCTGATTCAGGCTCTCAAGGCTTCCGTTCTCAAACATGGGAACCGCAGGAGCCCTGCCACAGGTCTGCTCTGAGGACTCAACGGGCTGGACGGAGGGAAAGGCCCGGAGCGTGCCTGCTCCTCACACGGCAGAGGGGACAGCGCCTGGCCTCCCCCGTCCACCGACCTTTCCCCCTTCCTTCCTGAAAATGAGAGCCCAGATGTGTGTGCTGCTCCCAAATGCCATGACCGAAAGGGGACACTGGTCCCTCCTGAGTCCCGGGAGATGAACTGGGCCATTCTGGGGGCTCTCCTACCTCGTGCCGCGTGACGGCCGAGACCCTGCCCCGTGCGGCACCATCCCAGTGCACGACGTGGGAGCGCGTACGCTCAGGCAGGGTGGAGGGGCACGTGGGAGGCTTCCTTCACTTTAAAAAAAAAAAAAAACAAGGCAGGGGCACCTGGGTGGCTCAGTGGGTTAAAGCCTCTACCTTCGGCTCAGGTCATGATCTCAGGGTCCTGGGATCGAGCCCCACTTTGGGCTCTCTGCTCAGCGGGGAGCCTGCTTCCCCCTCTCTCTCTGCCTGCCTCTCTGCCTACTTGTGATCTCTGTCAGATAAATAATAGCTTTTAAAAAAAACAAAACAAGGCAGAGATTTTGACTTTCTTTCTTGTGAGCTTTACTTATTGAGAGAGAGGGAGAGGGCGTGTAAGCAGGGCGAGGGGCAGAGGAGGGAAACCTGCAGAGAGCGGGACCTGATTCTGGGCGGAGGGTTCCCACAACCCATGAGATCACGACCTGAGCTGAAACCAAGAGTTGGACGCTACGTGCCGAGCCAGCCAGGCGCCCCAGATCTCTACTTTTCTCTGCCTCTTTAAGACTGTGCAGGCCCTCTGACCTCAAGACCCCGTGGCACGAGCCTGTCTGGGTGTGGAACCCAGGCCTGGGGAACGTTAACTGAGCGGCCCCCTGACTGACTCCAGCCTGGCGGTGGTAAAAATGATGACAATTACTAAGCCGTTCTCCATAACAGAGCCTTGTGGCTGTTCTTAACACGGCTCATTACTGTTGCTTTACGGCCGGACTTCTCATGCTACCCACGGTTCTGGGTCCACCACGGACGACGGTTCTGGCCACGAGCAGTTCCAGTGGGACTTGACCGTAAGAGTACGGCCCCAGCTGGGCCCTGCATCCCCTCGGGGTGCTGGGGTCGGGGGCCCGTCTCCCAGAGTCAGAGGGGCCCCTCACAGAGCAGAGTGCCTCCATTTATTTCCAGACCCTCCAAGCACCACCCTGGTTTTAGGGGCTGTTTTCGGTTTTTGTAAAACGCACAGCTCCGTGAACATGCGGAACATCCACTCCACATCTGCCCACCAAAAAGAAAAAAAGGATTAGGATTTCATAGATTTGAAACTTCATTTCTTTCCACTTAGCCTCATTTAGGCGTAGTTGCAGGCTGAAGGAGAGCACAGAAAAGCGACCGCCCGCTCCTCCGCAGGCCATCAGAGGCCGAAGCGGAGGGCTTCCGTGGCCTTCTGGGCACTTAACCGGCTGCCGGAGCTCAGTCTTCTCTCCAGCGACTCATCTTTACGCAGGAGCCCAAGCACGAGCCCTGGTCCCACCAGAGGCCCCCGCCATGTGGCGTGTAACTGAGTTGCCGTCACGCAGCGCTGCTGGACGCCCGGTGGTGCCCAGGACGGCCCGCAGCGAGGGTGACCCGGCCGGAGATGGCAGCACTGCCAGGCTGGAAACCTGGAGCCCATGAACCGCCCACCGAACCTGCCGGGGCGCTCACGTCGCGGTCTGTGGGGCTGAGTAGGAGCCGGGCCTTCCCCTCCTCGCCCCGGTCGAGCTACCTACCAGCAGCGTGGGCTTGGACGGGTTCACAGAACCCCACTTGGCCCATCTGCAGGATGCAGGTCGGTCGAGCTGCTGCTCACCGGCTGGGATGAGAGTTCATTAAAAGCACAGTGTGGCGCCTGGCAGGGGACTGGCCAGCAGCCCCTCCGGTTGGGGTGACGACCAGCACCTGGGATCTCGCCTCTCCGCTTTCTCAGAAACGCGTCCATCTCCTCCTTCTCGCCCCATTTTCTCTGCTCCTCCTCTGGCCGGTTTCACTGCTTTTTCTTCCTCTCTCTCCCACCACTCCCTCCCAGCCCCTCCCCGTCTCTCCCCTCCTCCCATCTCTCTCTCTCTCTCTCTCTCACACACAAACACACACAGTTGCATCTTCAGGTTTCCAACAAACCAGGGCAAATATGTGACCTCCAAAATCACCAAGATTGAGTAAAATTAATTTACTGAAACTAAGCAGACAGGAGTGCTGTACGTCATTTAAACGGACAGGATCAAGGTACCTGGTCCAGTCAATCTGCATCTTGGAGCCACGTGAATGACCAATAACAAGAAAACCAAGCGTGTGTGCCCAGAAGTCACCTGAAGACCCCAAGTTTCACGCCATCCCCACACTGTCGTCACAGGGGTCCACCGGCTCCACCTCGGCTTGCAGGGCAGTGACTGGAGACCTACCTGTCACCACAGGGAGGTCACTGTCCCTTCTCCATTCGGGCTGCGTCACGAGGGGGCACCGGCGCTGGGCTGCGGGGCCTGGGGCGCGGGGATCGGAGCTCCAGGGGGACAAATGCGCTGCTGTGTGTCGCGGGTGTCAGCCTGTCTCCAGCCACGCCCCTGGTCTCCAGCAGCGACAGACCCACACGCCTCCCCCGCTCCCCAATCACCCCCGGCCCCCTGTCCCTTCTCCCTGCTCAGCGGCCTGGCGGTCCCTCCAGCACAGTCATGTCCCGCCTACTCCGCGGTCCACATATGATCTCATCCTACGTCCCTGCCCCTGCATGGGCTCCCTGGCGTGTCTGTTCCTCTTGCCCGGTCGTGTCTCCCCAGCAGCCGCCACTGGGCCAGGCCTGCATCCCTGAAAAACTGTCACAGAACAAAGCGGAGTCCGTGCCTTCACGGGTGGGTCCTTCCCACCGCTTACGCACCTCTGGTCCTACTCGGTGTTCCAACTGATGAGCCCAAGTGTCCCCTTCCCCGGGGGCTTGCCCAGCCTGCCCCCCAAAGTGGGACTGCAGCTGGGCCCGTGGCCGTAGTGTTTCACGTTCACCACCACACCTGCCTGCCCGCCTGCCGCCCCCACCCCGTAAACTCCCGGTGGACAAGGTCTGCCTCCTGCCAGCCTGAGGACTCCGCCCAGAGCCTTCCCCGGACTGGGTGGCCGGCACCCCAGTGGGAGAGAAGCGGCTGGATGGGGTCAGCTCTCTCCGCGATGGTGCACTCTGACAGCGGGACGGGACGCCGTCCTGAGCTCACCGGGAACCCAACGTTCAAGTCAGCAGACGACCTTCCCACGCAGCACGATCTCCCAAGCATCCATATAGAGAGGACCCCCTAAGAGGCACTTAAAAACGCATCCCCCCGCTCTGCTCCAGCCGTGGGCCCTCACTCTGTGCCCCACAGGACCCGGGGCCCAGGAAGGGACACTCAAAGGGACACGATCTTTAAAAAACAGAGAAATCAGAACAGGGAGATCCCACACCTCCCCACGGCCAACAAGGTGCAGTTGTCTTTAATGTGATGTGACCAGCCTCGATGGGCAGCTGACAGCGGCGACTGCAGTAAAGCTCTGTTCGAGCTTCTGAAAACCTGCCTTTGACACACGAAGAATCTTAAAAGTGTGTTTACTCCAACCGAAGCCACCACCCCCGCATGCTCCTCCAAACTGCCATGTAGCAGAAAGCCAGGAAGGGACGGTAAAAATAAATCTCACACGCCCAGCGGACGGACTGCCATGCATCCGTCAAAACCGTGTTCTCAAAGGGCGTGTGGCATTTGCAGGTGGGAGGCAGAGCTCATCATCGCTTCTTAACTCGAAAAGCAGAAAACCACACGAGTCGAGAAGCCCATTTAAAGAAACAAGCTGGGGGCGCCTGGGCGGCTCCGGGGTTAAGCCTCTGCCTTCGGCTCAGGTCATGATCTCAGGGTCCTGGGATCGAGCCCCGCATCGGGCTCTCTGCCCCGCGGGGAGGCTGCTTCCCCCTCTCTCTCTGCCTCTCTGCCTGCTTGTGATCTCTGTCAAATAAATAAAATCTTAAAAAAAAGAAAGAAACAAGCTGTACGCGACCAAAACTTACTAGAGGCAAATACACTGAAACCGAAAGATCGCTTCTGAGGGCTAGGGCTACCGATGTTTATTCTAGTCTTTACATTTTCTGTGTCATTTTCATCGGGAAAAAAAGGTCCTTAGAGAGGCCAACTGGCGAGTTCTGGCCACTCAATGCCTTCAGCCTGCATTCCACAGCCACAGAGCGGCAGGGTCTGGCCTCGGCCTGCCGGAGGCCTGGGCTCTGGCGCCGTCCAGCTGCCCCTCACCAGCGGACGACGGATGGCCCCGGGGGAGCGCAGGGCCGTGACACCTCCTGACGAGAACTCCGACTCCGTGTTTTCCCTGCCGCAGGCTGGCCTCCTCCCCCACGCGCAGGTCAGCCTGCGCCTCCCTCAGGGTCAAACACCCGCGCGTGAGGAATGCAGTGACCATCTGCAAAATCCTCGCAAGCACGAGGAGCGCAGGGCCCCCGACCTGCCGGACAGCAGGCCGCCCCCTGGGAAAGCCTGACACATCACCTTTCCCAACTTCTTTTTCTCATCTCTAAAGCATGCCTCAGAGGTTTCAAGAACGTTTTGTTTTAAGCATTGGAGTCTCTTGTAAAAAAAAAAATAAATAAACCTAAATGCAATGAAATCAGAGGTGGCCAGAGTGAAGGAAGGGTTGGAGGAGAAGGCAGAGCCTGGTTGCTCGTCCTCCCCAGCAGAAGCCCCGGACGTCCTCCCAAGGAGCTGAGACGGGGCGGGAGGCACAGGACCAGACGACTCCCGGGGCCCCCCCACCCCCACTGCCTGCCACACAACCCCTCCTCAATCCTTCAGCTCCGAGGCCAGCTTACCGGTCCACGGCGATGACCCCAAGCGTGAGCATGCTGGCCGAGCTGATGAGCAGGTACAGAAGGGCTGAGAAGTTGCACCAGACCACACCGAAGACCCATTCCCTCCGGGCGGAGCTGGTGGCCACGAAGGGCAGCACCAGCACGGACAGCAGGAAGTTGGACAGGGTCAGGCTGAAGACGAACTTGTTGCTGAGGGTGAGCAGGTAGGACTTCTTGTACAAGGTGACCACGACGAGCAGGTTGCCCAGGCAGACGAAAACGGTGATGAGGACGATGGTGGCGAAGTCGGCGATGGCACCGTCCCCGGCGCCACCGTCCTCGTGCGTGCGGTTACTCAGCTCCTTCCTGTGGCCGAGGGAGGAGTTGAGGCTCATGGTCAGGCACCTCGGCGTGCGGCGGGCAGAGCATGCCGGGCGGCTGGAGAAAGAGGTAAGACCGGCGCACGGGGAGAGACGCGTCAGACCCCATCGAGCGCACGTGACGCACGAGCCGCCCGAGCCCCGGTTCTCCCGCCACCGACCCTCCACCCGTCTTCCCTGCCCCAGCGCCACCACAGCGGCCTGTTCCTACAGCCAACCTCCTGTGTCGCTCCCTGCGTCTCCTGGAGCGTCTCCTGGAACGATGGGCTCCTCCAGTCTAACCCAACCTGCTCCTGTGCCCTGAGGCCAGAGGTTCGAAACCTTTGATGTGCTGAGGGACGCCGGAGAGTGGGGGGGCGGTTCTCGGCCCCGCCCCGAGATGCTGGTCCAGGACTCACAGCCCCAGCGGAGCAGCCTGCATTTTGAACAAACAGGGGGCAGGTGGGCTGTGGTGCTTTGGGGCCCCTGCAATTCAGGGGTTCCCCGAACCAGCAGCGGTAGCAGCACCTGGAGCCACAGAGACAGCCAAGTTCAAGCAGACCCCTGAGTGCCGGACCGGAACCTGCACTGACCCCGCTGGTCGTGCGCCCGGGAAGGTCGGACAGTGCGCTTGTCGTAGGGGCTCTCGGAGGCGGCCGAGCGGGGCCCCGGCAAGCACCGTCTGTACTGAGGCCTCATCCCTGTCCCGGTGAGCCGCGGGGAAGGCCGGCAGGGACCTAAGCAGGTGCGCGCAGGCCGCTCTCCGTGATGTGCAGTCCTGCTCCCGGGTCGCTGGCTCAGGATCTGGGCTAAGCTTGAAGGTTGACATCTCAGCACTCGTCCTACAGGACGTTTCTCCAAACATTTCGTCTACATTCATCAGCCAAAAACCCCACAGACACGTCCTCTGCCTGCTCTTGCTCCCGACAAACAGGAGACTCCAGAGAGCAGGAGCGCTTTCCTGCCACACAGCAGAGCCTCCCCCGCCCCCCCGCCCATGATCTGACACCACTGTCCCAACGCCTTTGGCCCCAGGGAGCTGGTGGCTGAGAGGCCCCCGTCCCCTTCCAGCAGTCCTGAGGGCAGGTCAGAAGGCTTCCCTTCCGAGGGAGCCGGCTGCCGGGGCCAGAGGTGTGAGCAGCATTGAACAGTCCTCCCCTCGAGCCTTTAAATGCCTCACGGGTGACTTGCCTTCCCTTCTCCAGATGTACGCTCCGCCTGGAGGATGCCACCTCCAGACCCTTCACTAATTCAGACACCCCTGTTTGGACCTGTTCGCAGACAATGATGACCCTCTTGCTTTGTGGTCCCCAGAACTGAATGTGCCATTCTGGCTGTGAGCCGCTGGGTATCGAGCACAGGGGGCAATTTTCCCCATCACCAGGACAATCTCCTGCTACAATCCACTCTCAGAACGCGTTTCCTTTCAGCAACGGCATCATCCTGCTGGGCTTCTCTGACTGTGCTCAACTAAAACCCAAAACTTACACACACGTGAGTTTCTGTGAAGCCAGGTGACCCCAGTCTAGAACTTACGGCATTAATGTGTTTAAGCCTAAATGCAACACGTTATTTCTACTAAATTTTATTTTGTGCATTTTGGCCCATATTTCCAGGCTGCTGAAATATTCTGTTTTTATTTAGTTACGCAGTATGTTATGTACCCCCGCGCTGTGCAATGAACATTCTTTATAGGTTTGGCTTCTATATCTGAGTCTATAAGGTTATTTCCGGGTTTTTTCCCTTTTCTGTGAGCTCTGAATTTTGAATTTTGTTAATTCTTATAAGTAAACTATTGGGATGCCCGGGTGGCTCAGTCGGTTAAGCATCTGCCTTCAGCTCAGGTCGTGATCTCAGGTCCTGGGATCAAGCGCCGCGTTGGGCTCCCTGCTCAGTGGGGAGTCTGCTTCTCCTCCTCCCTGCACCTGCTCTCTCTCTCTTTCTTTCTCTCAAGTAAATAAATAAAATCCTTAAAAAAAAAAAACAAAACTCTTAGGGGCGCCCGGGTGGTTCAGTGGGTTAAGCCTCTGCCTCAGCTTAGGTCATGATCTCAGGGTCCTGGGATCGAGCCCTGCATCAGGCTCTCTCTCTCTCTGCCTGCCTCTCTGCCTACTTGTGATCTCTCTGTGTCAAATAAATAAATAGAATCTTTAAAAAATAATAAATAAATACAGTATTTTGACTGTAAATCGTTAATGATATATATTCTGTGGACCAGAGAACTACTCAGTTTACTTAGTAGGCTTGACGCTGTCAGTGGCGCTGTAATTTTACAACTACTTAGAATATAGAGAAAGTGAGTCTACGTGTTTACGGAGAAAGGGGGCACGGATTACAGAACAGGGAAAGGAGACGAAGGGCCTCATGGTGTTAAGTGGGCTACTGGAGGTGTCAGTATGAACTCCCCGTTCAATCAGACAGAAACTGGTCCAAGGAAGTCCCCCGGAATGCAGTCAGAAAGATTAAGAAAGTAAAACTATAGAATAAGAGGCAAATGAGAGAATGAGTAGGAAGTGCTTTATTATTCAAGCAAAGCAGAGTGTTTCTCACTAATTAAGGGAATCCTGTCTGCCGAGATGGTGGACTCAGCCGACGTGAACATCTCCGCCACTCCAAATTCTTTGAATTACGGGGTTAAATATGACCCAAGGTTTTTGTTGTTATTGTTTTTTTAATTGTTTTTTTATTATCCTATAATGTATCATTAGCCCCATGGGTACAGGTCTGTGAATCGCCAAGTTTACATTCACAGCACTCACCATAGCACATACCCTCCCCAACGTCCATAATCCAGCCTCAGGGTCCTGGGATCGAGCCCTGCATCGGGCTCCCTGCTCACCTGCTTCCTCCTCTCTCTCTGCCTGCCTCTCTGTCTACTTGTGATCTCTGCCTGTCAAATAAATAATAAATAAAATCTTAAAAAAAAAAAAAGGCTCGTATGGTTTGTCTCCCTCCCGATCCCATCTTGTTTCATTTATTCCTTTCCTCCCCACACAAACCCCAACATGACCCAAGGTTTTAAAAAGGATAACAAAGAAAAAGAAAAGCCAAGAAAGAGAAATCCATAGGTACCAGAAACAGAGAGAAAATTCAAAGCCAGAGTTACAATCCCACACCTGTGGCCAGAAGAACATGAGACCTAGTTCTCTAGGGCCGAGGCCTTTTATGTGGAAGGGTGACTTTGAGCTCCACGGGCAGAGAACCAGAACAGAAATCCTGCATAAACAGTGGTTTCTAGAAGGGCTGTCCCCTCCATGAAAAAGGGATTAGAAAAGCTCCTCCCACGGGCAAAGGGAAGCAGCAAAAACATAGCCATCGACCTGAGGTTCTGGGTGGAGGATGAAACGCTTCCTTCCATGAGAAATCAAACACCGAGTCCCATGCCACGCTGATGCGGGCACCAAACCCATGCACTGTGAAAGGGGCAGAGACCAAACTGATGAATCCGTGTAAAGATTAATGGGGACAAAAGTCAACACAAAATGGCTCTGTGGTGAATTTCCAACACTCGGTGGAAGCGAGCGCATGGCATTCATGTGGAGGCAGAGTCAACAAAACAAAAAGCAGAACTGACATTCCAAGAACTTACACTAATAGGAAGAAATGAATGAGACATAAATGCTATTAAAAGCTTTAAAAAGAAAAGGGGTAAGAACCATAACAAAAGAGCAGACATCGTGAAAAAATGGTAAGCAATTGCAAAAAATGATCAAAGAGAAATTCTAGAAATTAAAATTTTAGTTGTCAAAATTAGAAACTCAGTGGTTATGGTGACCAGCAGATTTAGCTAAAGAGAAAGATGGTGAACTGGAAGATAGCTCTGAGGAAATTACTCAAAATGCAGTTAAAAAGATTAAGAAACTGAAAATACAAAGAGCCAAGATTCAGGAAGGATGGGATAAGAAGATCCAACATAGGTTCAACGGGAGGGCAGCAAGGGATTAGACAACGTGGGTAGCAGACACTGCTGGGCACCTACCCAGCCACCTCTCTCATTTTTCTCTTATGGGCAGGCCTCTGACTTAGTGTTGGTGGTATCCGCCTCCCAGGGACCCAGAGATGGCAGATCCCATCCCCAGTTCGGAGAGCTGGATGCTGGGTGGTCTAAAGTAACCCTCGTGTCTCCTTTTCTTCCAATCCTGGCAAAATAGTCAGGAGGAAAAGTCTGGGGTTGGTGGGGGTGGGAACGGGGATATCTGGGGAAGGCTTCTCTGATCTCACAAAGATGCAAGGAAGAAAAATCTTTTCCTGAAGTCCCTAAGGGCAAAGAAAGCACAGAGCTGTGGCAGCTATCTTGGGATCCTTGGAGATGCTGAGCCGGCGTGGTCAGCACGGCAACAAATGGTCAATCCTTGGGCCGCTGAATCAACAAACCTTCAAGTCACTTCATCCTGGCTTCTGGTTATGGGAAATACCTTTCTTAAAATGATTTTTATTTGTATTTATTTATTTATTTTTATTTGACAGAGAGAGAGAGAGAGAGAGAGAGATCACAAGCAGGCAGAGAGGCAGGCAGAGAGAGGGGGAAGCAGTCTCCCTGCTGAGCAGAGAGCCCAATGTGGGGCTCAATCCCAGGACCCTGAGACCATGACCTGAGCCGCAGGCAGAGGCTTACTTAACCCACTGAGCCACCCAGGCGCCCCTTAAAATGACTTTCAGATCTATTGTCAGTTAAGTTTCTGTTACTTGAGTCAAAAGCATCCAAACTGCCTTAGGTCACACCTACACTGTCCGCACCAAGGTGGACATAGTTATTAAACAGGGGCTGAACATTCTCTAGAGTTAAAGAAACACACGAGTCCTCAGAATGAAAGGGCATATCGAGTTCTAAGAGTAAATCCAAAAAAAGTCTGGGATGCATGGTTGGCTCAGCTGGTTCAGCGTCTGCCTTCAGCTCAGGTCATGATCCCAGGGTCTTGGGATCAAATCCTGCATCGGGCTCCCTGGTCGGTGGGGAGTCAGCTTCTCTCTCCTCTCTGCTTGTGCTCTCTCATTCTCTCTCTCAAATATAAATAATCTTAAAAATATTTAAAAACAAAACAAACAACAAACAAAAGACAGAAATTAAGAAAGCACTAC